GGTAGCCATGCTGATGTCATGCTGTTTCCACGCTGTTGCCATGCTGCTGCCATGCTGGTGCCACGCTGGTGCCATGCTGTTGCCATGCTGTGGCCGTGCTGTTGCCATGCGTTTGCATGTTGTTGCCATGCCAGTTCCATGCCGTTGCCATGCTGTTGCCGTGCTGTTGCCATGTTGTTGCCATGCCGTTGCCATGCTGTGTTCACGATGTTGCCATGCTGTTACCATGCTATTGTCATGTTGTGGTGGCGGATTAACGATGGTGTCGAGATCCTTGGCAAGCACTTCCAAGCGCTCGTCCGTGTGATGCCGCACTCGGAGTTTCCATCTGGCTCATCTTGCATGTGCCAGGCAATCGATGAGTACATCACTGACTTGTGGCCAGCACTGTCACTGCACTCCATGGGCGCGCCAGTGACGTTCGACGCGGAGGTCACCCACGTCGCTTTACCAAATCGATCGATGGCAAGCGTTCCCAAGACTGACACTCCCAACCCAGCAGCTGAGGGCTATACCTAGCGGACCCTCAACGAGCGCTGCGGCGAATCTCAGTTCGAGGGCGGCATGCACTTGAATGCCTCTGTGCCAGCGGGCCGCGAGCTCTGCTCCGGCATTGGCGCGAAGACCGCGCAGACCACAAAGATGCTCGCGCCTCTGCCTGAGGCCAGCAGTGCTTCACTTCGCTCCGTCATCGCCTCGACGCCGCCATGCGCCGCGGACTGCTGTGCAGAAAGTGCCCAATGCACTGAGGCCGAACAGGCCGCGTGCGCCTCGAACTGCACCGGCGCCTGGTTCGACGTCGTGGACGTGCGCGTGAAAGCCTTCGGTCTTCCTGACCGGGAGATCGCCACCAGCACAGCCGCGCCATTTTTCCAGACCACCGCAACCACCTCGTGGTAGTAGGCCTCTTCGGCGCAGACGTGCCCGCCATCCACCGCCACGACGGCTGACAATTTGGTTTGGAATTCGATTGCAGCAAATTCGGAGACACTCTTGGCACTGAATTCCAGCCAAGGCAGAGTCCCCGCGGAGCCGACCATCCGGTCTTGAGTCAGCACTTGTGACGCAAGGGTTGTAACAAGTGTGCACGCCGTAGCTGCCGCGCTGCCTCTGCTGCTGCCACAGTCGATCGAGGATTTTCAGCAAAACCTGGGTTTCTTGGTCTTGTCTCCAACGATCGGGATCGATGACAGGTTAGTGGGAGCATGCGGTCACGTTGCTGACGCTCAGGTGTTCGACCGTGGTCGCATCTCGACGTGGCAATTATGAGTCTGACCCTAAACCTTCCCGCCTTGGCCAGACCATCGCGTACGAGCTCATGTTCCACAAAACGCGCGATGGCTGGAATTCTCTCGGCACCGACGGCTGCGATGCTGGCGAGCACCTCTGCTTCAGCTTCTCGGACACGCGTGTCTGGGACCCCGAGAGCGGAGCTTGCGCCAGCGAGTTTGTACAATGATATATGCGTCCAGGAGGTCCCAAGCCAGTCTTGTTCGCCTCCTGGCAGAGGTTGACGTTACAAGCCATGCCCCTAAGCTCCTGCATTATTATAAGTTCTTATCCGCCTGTACAGGAATTGGCTCTCCGTGGTTCGATTCGTCGTCCGCGGTACCCAGTTCCTGTTGGCCTTAGCTGTTGCGAATTGCTCTACAATGTCGGCATGGTACGTACACGGCACCTCACGGGGGCGTCATGCAAACATGCATACATGTTTACATGTCTACATACATACGACCTATGCGACCGCCCTGCGGGCGATAAGGAGGTGGGGGGGGGATTGAGATCAAATGCCCACCCTGACTGACCTCCAGCCTGTCACCTTGATCGCATCTCTCTCTTTCTCTCTGTTGTTCTCTCTCTCTCTCTCTGTCTCTCTCTCTCTCTCTCGCCCTCTCTTTTTTTGTTTTCTCTCTCTCTCTCTCCCTCTCTATCAGAGTATCCCTCCACCACAATGATGATCGCGATGACGATGAGATCCCACTATCTACCTATCCGTCGACCGACCTATCGGTGAATCTCACTGTCGATCTCACTATCGACATCAAAAGCAAAATGAGAAAGCCAGCCGCAGGCGCCGAAAAACGATTTGTTGTCGGACCACCACAGGACAACCATCGGCACAACCACCAGACAACCATCAGGACATTCACAAGACAACCACGAGACAAGCATCGCATACTAAGTACTCTCTCTCTCGCTCTCTCTCTCTCTCTCTCTCTTTCTATCCGTCTCCCCCCCACACCACAATGATGACAGTGAAGATGGGTGATGGGTGCGGCGGTGCTGACAGCAGCGATGGCGGTGGCGATGGCAGGATAAGATAAGATGGGTTGGATTGGAAGAGATGTATTGGATAAGATAAGATGGATCGGGTTGGCCCGCCGCAGGCACAGAAACAAATGAATTGATGGATACGGTTGGATAGATTGGATTGGGTGGGATATGATAAGATGGGACAATATGGGTTGAATTAAGATGGATTGGATTGGGCAAGATGGATTGGATAAGATAAGCTGGATTTGGTGAAAAAGCCCGCCGTAGGCGCCAACAAAAATTAATTGATGGATTGGGTTGGGTGGATTGGATTGGATGGGATAAGATGGATTGGATATGATAATATGGGTCGGATTGGAAGAGATGGATTGGATAAGATAAGATGGATTGGATTGGCCCGCCGCGGGCGCAGAAACAAATTAGTTGATTGATACGGTTGGGTGGATTGGATTGCGTGGGACAAGATAAGATGGGACAAGATGGGTTGTATAAGTTAATATGGATTGGATTGGACAAGATGGATTGGATAAGATAAGCTGGATTGGATAAGAACGCCCGCCGCAGGCGCCGGAAAAAAATGAATTGTGAAATTCGCGACATGCGTTAGCCCTGGGACGCCCGGGACACCCGGGACACCGCCCGGCCCTAACGGACTTTCGATCCTACTGACTCCCGGGACACCCGGGACACCGCCCGGCCCAACTGGGACACCACCTCCCAGCCACTGGCGGACGGGAACGGACTTTCGCTCCTACTTCGGCCTAGCTACTGGAGGATCACGTGCAGCTTCGCCTCGTCCGCACGCACGACACGAGCAATAAACCGAAACCGATTTCCTGGTGGGGGGTCTCCGTTTCACTGCGATTTCACCACGTGGTGTACACAGGCATTGTGGTGTACACAGGCGTGGTGCACAGGGTGCACAGAGATCTGCTGCAGCAGCTGTGGTGTACAAACGCGCTGTGGTGTATGCAGTCATTGTTGCGCACGGAGGCCTATTGGTGAACGCCGGCACTGTGGTGTACACAGGCATTGGTAATGAAGTATCCACAAGCTTCGTGTCGTACACTGTCAGCGTCGTGTGCGCAGGCATTGTTGTGTACATGTGCATGGTTGCTCAAACCTGCCCACTGGTTCACACACGCATTGTTATGATCCTCGGTGCTGTGGTGCAAGCAGGCATTGTAATTTACACGAGCATTATGGTGTTGTCCCTCAGCGGGCATATAGTGGTGCGCACAAGCGCTACGTCCGACCCTCCATACAAAGCTGATGCGCGCGACCGCTACGGTGGTGCCAGCGGCACATGGCGGGGACCGTTACGTTATACACTCCTTCGCCCCACTCCCACGTAACGCCCGTCATCACAGCAAATACACAAATGTGGTCCTTTGACCTTTCAGCCGAGTCGTTCAGGGAACATAGGAGCATCGGATCATCGGAGGTCCGGGTACCAGCCTTTCGTTTCATCCATCGTCCGCAGCACCTTGCGTCTCAGTCTTCCCGTTGCTTTCTCATACCTTGCGGCTCTTCTCTCTGCAGCCAGGCCATGTACGGTTTGTCATCGATCATCGGTTTGTTGGCACGCGTTTGGCGCACCAATTTGTGTTTGGGGTGCACTTGGCGCTTCCATTCCGCTTATGTTCGTCTCGTCGGCGCTTATTGGGCGCGTCGGAGTATGATTGGCGCGCAGTTGGCGCGTCGATTGCCTCGCCGTTCGGGAGGACACTGAGGCATGGAGTGCAACAAAAGCAGATCTTCGTCTCAGCAGCTGTGTTCGCGTGCGCGTTGCACATGCATACGCAAGGTGCGCTCATGATCTTGTGAATGCAGTACCAGGCACGATGTACAACAGAAAGGTGGTCATGTTCCTGACGGCCATACTGATGTGAGCGTACGGTTTCAATGATTGGGGACATCTCACGTGCACAGTTGCTTCGGTCATCCTCTTCATGCTCGCCCGGTCGTGCATCTAGCGGCCTTCGGCCCATCCCGCCCCCGTGCGTGGGTTGTGGGTCGGATGTTTCTTTGATGTTTGTCGGGTCTTTGGGGAGGCCTTTCGGGGGGCTCTCAGAAGAAGTGTCGAAGCCTCTTCGGGCTACGTCGGGATCTTTTCGGGCCTCGCTTGGGTCTCTAGGGGGCTTCTTTATGTTTCTTCGGTGTTTGGTGGCGGTCTCGAGAATTCTCCGGGAGCGGAGGGCCTGAAATGCAATTTCCAGCGCCCCTGTTTGTTCCCCTCTTGGGGCTGTCTTGGGACCCTCTTGGGCCGTCCACGGGGCCTCTTGGGACGCCTTGGGGCACACCGCCTGGGGGCCCTTAGGCCGTCTTGGAGTGTCGGAAGCCCGACAAGGCGAGAACGCTGAACATATGGCCCATTCTCAAACGAAAGCGTGATTTTATCATGACTTGCAAGGCAGTCTCAAGTGAGAGCGCAATTCTTGACCAAATCCTGAGGAGGAAGTCTGAGGAACCGCTCCCAAAAAAACCCTTTCAGAGTTTTTGCTTGGTGAGGGGTCTGGGGGAACACCGTTCTGAACCCCTAAAAGGTCTCCTCAAGGGGCGTTTCTGGGGGATGTCCCGGGGGGGAACTCCCCCTAACCCTGAATGGTGCCTTACTCGGGCTGCATGGCCCTTAACCGTTCTCACGAAGATCTCCCAGTAGTGGCCTCCCAACCTTCCGCAACCGTTCTGGCTCAGACCTGGCTCGCCGCGCCCGCGGGCGAGCCATGGCGCCCACCCTGCGCCCCAGCCCAGGGGAGCTGGAGCGCCACCGGCGGGAGGCCGCGCAGCGGCTGCGCTGCGAGAGGCTGCGGCAGGTGCGGCAGCTCGAGGACGCCCACGCGCGAGAGGTGCTCCGTAGGCGCCTGGGGAGCGCGCAGCGCAGGAGCTGCCACCAGAGGGCGTCGGAGCTGCAGGAGGCGCTCTGCGAGAAGCGCGCGCGGCTCGCGGAGCTGCTGGCGGAGCAGGCCGCGTGCGAGGCGGCGTTCGGCGCCGCCTCGCGCGAGGCGCTCGCGCGCGGCCGGGCCCAGCACCTGGACTCGCTGCGCCGGGCCGCGGCGCTGGCGCAGCGCCAGGGGCTGGAGGTGCAGCGCGCCCAGGACGCGCTTCGCCACCTCCGCGAGCCACACGCTGCGCGCCTGCGAGAGGAGCTCGAGCGCAGGGCGCAGCTGTGGCAGGTCCGCGAGTCCGAGGACGCGAGAGCGCAAGCAGTGGCCCAGTCATCGCGCGACGATGCTCGCGCCGCCGTGGTGCGCCACGGGGCTCACGACGACGCGCCGCTGCCGCCCCTGCGGCGGGCGGGTTCGCCAGGCCCCAGTCCTCACGGCGTGGACGTCGACTATTCGGAGACATGCTTCCACGCCATGGACTATTCGAAAGTAGTGCTTCAAGACTTGGACTACTCGACGACCTGTTTCCACGCCCCGCGGCCAGAAGCAGCGGCCCCCGCCCGCGAGGGCTCGCTGCCCCAGCGCCCGGGGGCGGAGGCAGAGGCCGGAGAGCCCTGGCCGTGGCCCTCCTCGCCCCCGCCGGCGCCCTCTCCGGCGCCGTCGCCGCTGCAGCTGGAGCGGGCGAGCTCGCGCGGCCGAGAGGCGCTGGCGGAGCTGGCCACGAGAAGGCGCGACGAGCAGCTGGCCAAGCAGCTCGCGGCGCGGGTGACCTCGCCGCCGCCGTCCCAGACGCAGCTGCAGCGGGCCATCGACCGAGGCCGAGCAGCGCGAGCCGAGATAGCGGAGAGGAGGCGCTGCGACGAGCTGTGCAAGCAGCTGGCGGCGGAGGAGGCGCGCCAAAGGGCCGCCAGGGCCCGCAGCCCCGCGCCCCTGCCGCGACAGCCGCGGCTGCAGGGCGGAGGCGCGGAGGAGGCGAAGGCGACGGCCGCCCCAAACAGTCGTGCTCCCAGCTCCTGCCGCTTCGAGCATGCCCGCGCTCATGTTTGATATATCCTTGTTCGGGTAGCACGTGAGGCTCCTTTCGCGCTGGAATGCGCAGGGCGCGGTAGGTTCGCGACGTGTCGACCAGCGGCGACCCCGCCGCCGGCGTTCAACGTTGGACGCCGCCGGCGTCTTAGAGTCGGTCGATGTTGAACGATCTGACGTTTCCCAACGATCCCCGCGGTGTCAGGAACCAACGCCGGGGTCGACACGACATGAACCTGCCGTGCGAATACTATGAGTGCGTCGCCCCCCTGGGGCGACGCGCGCGCCGAGAAGTCTCTCAGCATGAGCTCCGTGTCGGGCGTTTTCTGGCCACACCTCTCGAGAAACGATGGACTACAAAATGTTTGTACTATATGTTCGGGTCGGACGCAGGCCCCCAAGGAGGACATATAGTGCTAATATGCCCTCCTGCGCCCCCGTAGGCAACATACACGCTTGCGTGAACGCAGGTTTTCGTTACACACGTGTTCAGGATCGTCTCCCCACAAGGCACCTGTACGCACCAGCACGCCTGGTCAGGGCCATCCTGGACCTTAGGATGGTGTGTAGACCCTCCTGGCCTCGGCCGCGAGGGTCTGTCGATCCCCAGAGTCCTCCCAGAGACCATTCTGCACAGTCTTTGAGCTGCGCACAGCCGTGGCCACGGAGTGGCCCCCCGCCCCCCCCGAAGCCCCAAACGACAACACACAGCCTTCCTTCCGAGGCGGCCCTCTCCCGACAACAGTCTCGACGTCTCGACCGCCGCCGGCGCCCTCCACTTGCGCAGCAGGCGCCCGCACACCGCCATCACGCCTGGCCAGGGCCATCGTTGGCCCCGGCCAAGGCCATCGTGGGCCCCAGCCAGACCTGCCAGCCCAGGCCGAGAGGCATGGTGGTGGTGTACAGGTCAGTGTGCAGCTCCCGGGAGGCTAGAAATTCAGCATCGGCGCTGAGATGTACTTACATGTATATGCGTGGTCAAAACCGGCCTCGTCTGGCATAGTCTCGCCGAGTTCCGTTTCATCCCGGACAGTCCCGGCGCAATCCGACTTAATCATGGGCTTATCATGGTTTTATCCGGACGGGGCTAGGACAAGGATAAAACTGCTCTAGAGCGTTCTGGAACGTTCTCAGAGCGTTCAAGAACGCTCTGAGTAGGCCGCGGCGACCGAGACATCTTCCAGATCCGCGGAATTTCAAAGACTCTCAATCTATCCTCTCCCGACGTTATCATCGTCCTAGCCTCGTCTTACGACTCTGGCTCCGTGGCCCTCGAGTCGGGCTCAGTCGCCCTTGCGTATACTAAGTTCTTTAAGACCTCCCAAGAGTGGCCTCCTGAGGTGTACAGGTGTCTTCTGTCGGCGTCATGCCGACATACGAATACTATGTGTGCGTCGCCCCCCGAGGGGCGACGCGCGCAGCGAGAAATCGTACAGCATATGCGTAGTGGCGGGCGCTTTCTGGCCACACCGCTCGTGCAACGAGATGCTACGAGATGTGTGGAAGTACCATCATGTCCGGGTCGGACGCGCGCCTCCGAGGAGGACACGGAGTACAGTGCCGTTTTCAATACATGCTCCGCGTGCGGATCGTGTATTAAAAATGCAGGGAATTAGTATTAAAAACAACGATGAATTCATGCGTGAATCTATTCATCAATGAACCATGGATTCAACATCCTATATTTTTAAAAAATCAGAGGTATCTAAAGCTGCCCTGTAATTGCTGGCAGGTCCTTCTGCGCCCCGCCCCGTGTCCTCGGGGGCCGCCGGGGCGAGGGGGCTCCGGCCTCCGGCCGCGGGGCCGAGCAGCCGCGGGGCGGGCGGCCGGGCTGCCGGGCCGCGGGCCTGCGTCGGGGCCCGCGCCGTGCGGCCCAGGCCGGGCAGACGCCCCGTCCTGCCGCGTCGCGTCGTGCCTCTTGGTGTGTTTTTCAGTCAGCAGCCGCAAGCGAAAGCGCAAACGGCGAGTCGAGTCAGAGCGGGCCGCGCAAAGACGAAATACCTCAAGCGGCGGGGCCTCAGGCATCACCACGGCGGGCAGGGCCGGCGGGTGGGGGTGCAGACTGCGGCTGCCGGGGGCCTGAGCCAGGGCAACGCGCAAATTGGCCAACCGTGCTTCTCGGTGTGCCCAGCGTCGGAAATTGGAACATACACATTACCAGTGGCGGGCTCTCTTTCAGTCCCAGGCTTTTTTGAGGGTCGGGGGACGACGTGGGGGCGGTGTGGTGTATACTTGTTCCCCGCTTCCCCAGGGAAACAAGGAAAAAGGTATACACCAGGACCCCATGTACACCAGTATCCGCTTTCTTGTAAGAGTTTCAGCGCAGGGCCAGAAAAAGCGTTGGTGTATAGAGTTCGGATGCCTACAGCGGCTGCACTTCCGTGCCGCACGGCTGGTGCGCCCAGGCTGCGGCTGCCCAGAGATAGAGTCAGTCAGCCCCGAGATACAGGATCTCAGTATCGTTTAGCCGATCCCTATCCCCTATCTCCATCCCCATCCACATCTCGAGCCCCACCGTCTCACCACTTCGGTTGGGGATATGCCCATCGAAACCCGAAGAGAGCAGCCTATACCCACATCAGCGGGGTAAATCGTCCAGTGGGGCCCAGCCCACGCTGGTGGGGATGGGGATCGGTTAAACGATGCTCAACATCGCGCATCCTTATGATACGGGCCGACTGCAGATCTCGTCGCCCTATGAGAGGCTCGCTGCTTCTCTTGCCCTGGCGCTCGATCCCGACTCTGGGCCCCCCTCGTGCCCCCAGGCGAGCCCGCTGGACCCGGCCACGACCACCATCGGCTGCCGACCGACCCCGGACCGTGCGGAGCGAATGCCGCCTTCTGGGCCGCGGCCGGCTCCGAGGAGGAGAAAGAGGAGGAAACTCAGGGTGAGGACGGAGAGGAGGAGGACGAGGAAGAGGAGGGGGAGCAAGAGAGAGAAAGGACGAAGAAGGGATGATGATGCAGGAGGAAAGATGAAGGTGGTAGGAAGGAGGACGTTGGTGATGGTAATGGTGATGGTGATGAGGACGATGATGATTGTTATGTTGATGGTGATGGTGATGATGTTGATGATGATGGCGACAACGACGGCGATGATGATGCTTATTATGACGATTAGGATGACGATGATGATGATTGCGGTGCTGCTGCTGATGATGACGATGATGGTAACGATGATGGCGATGCTGACGACGATGATGATGCTGATGATGATTATACTGATGATAATGATGATGATGATGCTGCTAATGATGACGATGATGATGATGATGGTGTTGGTGATGGTGATGGTGGTGGTGGTGATGGTGATGCTGATGATGATGGTTATGATGATGGCGAAGGTGATGGTGATGGTGATGGTGATGTTGGAGTTGATGATGATGCTGATGGTGTTGATGATGGTGGTGGTGATGACGATGTCGATGGTCGTGCTGATGATGATGATAATGATGATGATGATGATGATGATGATGATGCTGATGATGATGATGATGATGATTATGATGATGATGATGATGATGATTATGATGATGATGATTATGATGATGATGATGATACTGCTGATGTGAATGCTGATGACCTCGGTAATGCTTATATCGATGACGATGACGATGACGATGATACTAAGGAGGATAATTGCGACGATGGTGACGATGATGGTGATGATAGTGTTGATGGTAGTGATGGTGATGATGGTGGTGGTGACGATGGTGATGGTGATTGTTATGATTATGCTGCTGCTCAGGAGGACGAGAAGGAAGAGAAGGAGAGGGCGGAGAAGGAAGAGGATGGGGAGGAAGAGGAGGAAGAGGAGGAGAGAAAGGAAGAGGAATATGCAGATACCCAGATGGCCTACAGCGGATGCGCGCGAGGAGAAGGAGGAGAGAGGAACGGAGGGAGGGATGGAGGGAGGATCGGAGGGGGAGGAGGAGGAGGACGAGGAGGAGGAGGAGGAGGAGGAGCAGGAAGGAGAAGCATGAAAAGAGATGAGGAGGCGGGGGAGGCCGTCGTCGTCGTCGTCGTCGTCGTCGGCAGGACCACCTCCTCGACCCGTCGGCTGCCCGCGCCGCCGACCCCGCGGCCGGGCAGCCGTCCGTCCGCCTGGGCCGGGACAGGGCGCTGCCCGACGTCGACGCCGAGCGCAGGGAGGACGGCCGCGGGACCACGAAGGGTCTCGGGTCGAGGCTCAAATTTAAGTCGGGCCTGTTTCTCTACAGGAGGGAGATGCAATCATAGTAAAAACATAGTCTGGGGACGATTTTTTGACCAGTTGTGAGCATTTAGGGGGTATTTGTTTGAGTATTTAAATTTCGTCGCGCACAATCCCCCTGTAGGGGGACAGGCCCGACCTGAGCTTCAAGGGACGGGGGTCAATGCAAACGGGGGTCAGTCAGAGAGCCGGATCTTGCATGATCCTGCAGAGCCAGGGGCGCCCTGACTTGGGCTTGCGTGCAGGATTATGCAGGATCTTGCTAAGCCTGACTGACCCTGGTATGGATTGGCCCAGGTTAGAGTTTTTCTGAAGTTTTCGTCGCCCGTCGGCGGTTTTGACGCCTCGGGGTGCATTCCAGCAGCTGCGCCTCGCCGAGGACGTCCCGAGCGGCTGCGGGAGACCCGAGTGATGGCTCAAACGCTGAGCGACTTTGGAGGCGGAGGAGGAGGAGGAGGAGGAGGATGAGGAAGGACGGCGACGAAGACGACGAGGGCCAGGCCTGGAGGGTGGAGCCAAGGGGAGATGATCCCGATCTCGGCGATGGTGGTAATATTCGGGCTTCCTGGGTGGTCGAAAGAGTACCACGGGCACCAACATCTAGGGTCGTCGCTTCCTTGTGGAGACAGCCCCCTCTATGCCGGTGTTGGTGCCCGTTTCTAAGCCTCCAGAGGGCATTTTGTTGTTGTCGTGAAAAACGCGCTCAAGGGACGGAGAGAGGGGGAGAGGATCTGAGGCCCCGGGACGCCTCAGCAGGAGGCTTGCCTTGGATCCAGCAGGCCACGATTTGTTGTCGACAGAGGTGCATTCTGGCTCGATTAACTGATGGTGGAAGGACGCGGGATGTAGGCGTCCCCGCGCTCGCGGGCTGGCCTCTAAAGATGACTGGCCCCAGCGTCCAGTCACGCAGACGTTGTCAATTCGCTGGACGGTCGCTCAGTTCCGCTTCCTGAGAGCTGGTTGGGTCGCCATCCTCGCGACCGGCGGAGTGGGAGGAGGAGTGGTTGGATCAGGGGCAACGACAGGGGGGACAGGCATAGGACGGGGATGCATCGACCCCCAATCGCCCATTGATCGCCAATAGGGACCGATAGCCCCAATCTGCCCAGGAACGCGCGGACTCACTATCTGAAGCCCATCGCCGATCTATCGGCGATGTATCGCCAATTCCAGGTCGATGTCCCCCCCGAGGGAGGAGTGTCGCGGATCGAAGGGCCAGCATCGACGCCATTTGGAGGGAGGGGGAGGGAGGGAGGAGGATCGAGGATCGAGGGTCGGTGCTGTCGTGAGGTTTTTTTTGTTGTTGGGGGTGACTCCGGAGACCTGGAGGAGGAAAACGATGACGATGGCGACGTGTACATCCTCTTCTGAGTCTCTTGGGGTGCACTCGCCGTGACCACGAGTACAATTAGCCTTGCTATTCTGGTCAGAGCGCGCCTAGGGACCAGGAGTCCACCGCACGCCAGTCGTTTGAAAGCAGGTGTTCTTGGGCATCGGGATCCCAGTCTACTGCACAGCGCCTTCCTACCTCAAGAATCGATGTGTGCCTCTTGCTTCTTGTTGTTATTTGGGTGGGGGGCCCGAGTCCAATCTACTTTATTCGCCTTCCTACTTCATGTTTCCACCTACTCCACATCTCACAAGAGCGGGGGGCGTGTCCAAAAAGTGCTTGACAGCGCGTCTGGGACCCCCCCCAGAGCGGTGCCTCAACGGGCCCAGCAGCGAGACCCCCAACACACACTTCTTCGACGAGCCCCCCCCGCAAACGTACATACCCCCCCAAACAAAAATGTCTTCCGAGATCCGGGTGCGTCCTCCGACCGGCGAGCGAGGGGGTGGGAAAGTGAGGAGGGCGGGCCTTCCCCCAGAAGGCGCGGCAGTCCCCCAGGCCTCCCGAGAAGCTTTCGGAGCCTCCCCCGAAGACACCGAGAACCTCTCGGAAGGCCGGAGGCCTTCTGAGCAGTCTCGCCGCCCTCTGAGCAGGCCCTCTCCTGCTCCTCGTCTCCCCCCCTCGCGCGCCGCCAGATTCTCATGAGATCTGGGGTGCGTCTTCCGGCCGGCTGGTGTTGCACCAGGCAGGGAAGACGGCCGCGAACATGAGGCCAGAGACAACTACGTCAGGTCCGCGCGCCGCGCCGACGCGGCGTCCGCGGCAGCGCGGGCGCTCAAGCCGGAAGGCCCCCGCGGACGAGGGCCCCGAGCCGCTTCCGGAGGCCCCTGAGCCCTTGGGGCAGTGGGCCGACCGACGATTCGATGCCTCACGTGTTCGAGGGGAGTTCTGATCATCCCCCCCCGCCCCCGAAATCAATAATGATCTCAGAAAGGTGGTGATTTGGGGGTTCGAATCTTTCTGTCCATTCACGCCACCTCCTGCGTAACGCCCTCAATGTCGATTCCGCGGTGCCTGGGGGGGCATCTCGGGCCACAGGCTTCGAATAGAATGTCCATACGGGAAGTCCGGCCAGCGGCGGATGTCCAGAGGACCCGGGCGGCAGCGCAGTGCTGGACGCTCGCGAGCCGCGGGGGGTGTCTCCAGGGACCTCCTCCTCAAGCGGCGGCGCAGGGCTGGACGCTGGCGAGCCGCGGGGGGGATCTCCAAGGAGCTCCGCCTCGAGCTCGAGGGGCACAGCGCCGTGCGGCGGCGGCTTTCACAGTGCGGAGGACGTCCCAGGTGCCCACTGTTCCTCGGAGTCGTCAGGCCAGCCCACGAAGGTGTCGGCCACCCCTGCGGCGGCGTGCCCACTGCGCAGCTGGCACAGTGCAGTGGAGGACTCCGAGGCCCGCTGCCCCTCGGAGCGGTCCGGCCAGCCCACGCAGGTGTCGGCCATCGCTGCGGTTGCGGGTCCACTGCGCAGCTGGCACAGTGCAGAGGACGCCTCAGGGGCCCGTTGTCCCTCGGAGCGGTTAGGCAAACCCCCGCAGGTGCCAGCCACTCTTGCGGCTGCAGAGCCGTTGCGCGGCTGGCACCCCAGCGTGGGGATGCCGTTGTCAGCTCCGCCGCCGCAGCCGGCAGCGGCACCGCCGGCAGTGCCGGTCGGCAGCCAGGAGGCGCCCCGCTGCTGCTGGGCAGGCGCTGGCGGAGGGCTGGCCGACTACTTGCCGTCATCGGCGCCGTGCCCACCGCCGCTCCGCCCGACGGAGCCCGTGCCTGTGCGAGGCCAGAGCAGCGGCGGGCTCCCTGGAGGGGAGGCGCCTGTGCCCAGGGCTCCCCTCGCGGGGCCGCGGGCCTCGCCGATTGGCGGCCTGCTGGCCGGGGAGGCGGCGCGGCCTGGGCCTCCCGCGGAGGCCTCCGGGGTCGGGCGCGTGTCCGGCCTGCTGGCGGAGGCGGAGGAGCTGCTGCAGGAGACCGTGGCCATTCGACGAAGAACAGACTGCATGAGCATGAACTATGGGAGCTCCGCGATGTTTTCTGGGATCGGCACCGGGCCCCCCTGGCGGCGCCGCCAGCGCCGCCCTTGGCGCGCTCCGCGCTCCAGGGAGGGGCCAGCGCCGACCCAGGAAGTCTGCGCAGATCTCCCAAAGTTGATGTTTCTTCACAGGGCTAAGTATCTACCCCGCTTTCGCTTCCAGGCAAAACCAAGCCATACCACGCGCCTCCTCGTCAAGCAGCCCGACCGTTGCAGGCCACCCCACGGGTACTTTGGTATGGTGTGGCTCCCGTTTGGAAGCGAGGGTTGTCAAAAGCGAGGTAGGTTCGTTTGCCTCTCACTTGATGCAGAGCTCTCTTCTTCCAGCCATGGCGCTTCCTCTCGCGAGCGGGGCGGAGGTGGCGGCCTGGGGGGCAGCATCGAGGCGCAGCAGCCGCCCCGCCGAGGGCGGGCCCGCGGGCTGCAGGGGCGAGGCCGTCGAGCCGGAGAGGCCAGTGCGAGCAGCGGAGCAGTGGCTGGGGCGCAGGTGGTCGGGAGAGGGAACACGACTGCTCTGCACGCACGAAATGGGTACTGAAAGAATGGGTACAATGCCCATCAGCGGATCTTGTTCATTTTGAACAGGGCTCGCTGTCCACGCCGCCGCGGCCTGTGTCAATTCGAGACAGGGTGCTGCCTGCCCAACAGCGGCCGCTGTTGGTTTGGGACAACATTCATTATTGGGCATTGTACCCATTCTTTCGGTACCCATTTCAGGCGTCCAAAACTGCAGTCAGCCCGCGTAAGAAGGATGGGAAACCTGAATGAGGGGAACGAATCATAACATGAGCATGAACGCTCGGAGGTTCGCCGCGCGGATTTCTCGGATCCACGCTGGGGCCCCCTTGGCGGCCCCCGGATCCAAGACATCCGCGCGGACCTCCGAGTTTTCATTTGTCGTTCCCCTGAGGATGGGCAACCTTCCCAAGGGTGCCCTTGCATCCTTGCCCCTTCGGCCCATCCTTGGTCACTTCCGCTGGCCAACCTCGTTCGAAGAACGTTCACGTGGGCCTCCGAGGCCCTTGCATCCTTACCGCGCATCCTGATGATACGGGTCGACTGCGTAGTGAACGAACGCTGACACGCCGCCGCTGGAAGTCCGTCGGCGTGCTAGACGTGGGAACCAATTAACGAAGGAGAGGAAACGGCATGAGCATAAACCTTTGGCGCTCCGCGCGGATTTCTTGGGTCCGCGCTGGGGCCCCCCTGGCGGCGCCTCCGGCGCCGCCCCTGACGCGCCCCTGGCGCCAGGGAGGGGGGTCCAGCGCCGATCCGAGAAGTCCGCGCGGAGCACCAAAAGTGTATGACGTTGTTTCTTCTGCTGCGGTCGCTGACACGCCGCCGCTGGGGGTCCGTCGGCGTGCTACGGTAGAGGGAAACAATTAGTGAACACCCCCCTTGCCCCCCAAACTCGAAGTTGGCACGCGCGGGGGAGACTGCGGTCAAGGTGCAACTCATCAGACCCACCGCCAATTTTGAACATTGCGGGGAGGGGGAGGCGTTCACACATGAATGCGGCATGAGTGTTCGCTATTTTTTCCGGAGACATGTAGCCTTGGGAGCCAATGCACGACCCCCTTTTGTTTGGCGAATCCGTAGCGCTTTTCGCCCTTGGGAGTGATATCCCGCCCCCAGGCCATGCCGTGCGGGATCCCACCGAGATCCTAACGGGATTTCAACAATACACCAGTCATATTCCTATGAGAGCCCAATGTGGTTCAACATGAACCCAGTAAGATCCCAACCGGATTCCAATTGGATTCTGATAGGGTCCAGAGAGGATCCCAGTAGGATCGCCATCCCAGCAGGACTCCCCCATGGGACTCCCAAGAGGAGTCCACCAAGGATGCGCCATTCACCCTCGCCTCATCTTAACTCCAAGCTAGCTAACTGCTACCAGTAGTGCTCAGAATACCAGGAAGGGTCGGGGGCAGGGGAAGCAGTTCGGAATACGGGTGCTAGATATCCCTGACGGTGCGGGGGGGGCGATATTCCCCGTCGTGGTCAATGCCTCAGGGGAGCAGAACACTTGCATGTCTTACCAGGATTCGCAGATAGAAACTATATTGTTCTATAGTTTCTTCATCTTATCTTCAAACTAATTAATCGCTGCCACGGTTGCTTAGACTATTATTGTGAAGGCCTGACGGCCGGTGCTGTCGACCCTGAAGGGGGAGCCCGAGGCGTCTGGGAGGCAAGGAATCGAAGGGGAAAACTTTTCCCAGGGATGGGTGCTACCCCCTGGGGAGCCCCCCCCCCGCTACTCCCCCGCGCCCCCCACCTCCCCCCGCGGGGAAGGGATCAAAAATAATGGGCTTACCTACGACTCGACTGCGACGTTGCTCGATTTCTCGTCTGCTGTGACGTTTGGAGAGGAGGGCCCACGGAAAGGAACAGGGGGGGAGTGGTGACGACGACGATGACGACGATGCCGACGACGACGACGCCGCCGACGACGACGACAACGACGACGAAAACGGAAAAGCCGCACACACGCCGACAGGGACGTCATATTCTTCTATTGCCTCGAGGGGTGGGGTCGGGCAGATTTCGGAACGCGGGTGCTACATAACGCCGGCGGTGCGGGGGTGGGGCCCACTCCGCGTCGGTCTGCGCCTGCGGGGAGCAGAATAATGTGCATCTTTTGGCAGGGGTCGCAAGGAGAAACCACAGGGGGGGAGAGGTGGGCAGGAAGACAACCCGGGAAAGCTGGAAGCAGACTGCTGAGCCGTGGTCTGCGCTGCTCGGCAGAGGTCGACAATGGTGGGTCCTGCCTTACACTGCACTGGAAGCACTGGCACTGCACCGCCCTGTTCACATTGAGTCGGGCCTGTCCCTCTACAGGAGGAATATTCAGTAGTCAGGGGACGATTTTGTTTTTTTGTTTTTTCTAATTTTGAATATGTTTTGACTATTTTATTTTTTCCTCGAAAATCGGCCTGTAGGGGGGCAAGGCGCTGTCGGGCTTTGCTTTGCACTGTATGGCACTGCTGTGCGTTGCTCTGCCCTGCCTGGCGTGTGCCCTGCGGTGAGAAGGCCCCGGCCCAGCCAGGGACGAGGCGTCGAGGGGAGAGCCTCTGGGAGTGAGATCGGGACGGCCGACATGGGTAATGAAAGAATGGGCACGATGCCCAACAGTCGGGGGGGGACAGACCTCCTACCCTGACACGTCAATTTAGCGAATTGGCCGTTTTCGGTTCGCGAGAGGGCGTCGCGGCCGTCATTTTTGCGGGTCCAGGTCCGTCGGTTTCGGTCCCAGGCCGTTTTCACTAAGGGGAGGTTTACTAAAGGGAGGTTTGTCCACCGCCGAAACAGCAGTCCCTGTTCATTTTCAACAGGACTGGCTGTCCGCGCCGCCGCGGACGTTGTTCTTTGAAGACGAAAAGGCGCCTGCCCAAAAGCGGCCGCTGACGGTTTGGACAACATTTGCTGTTGGGCATTGCACCCATTTTTCCGTACCCATTTCGGGCGTCCAAACTCTGGGAGTAAGAAGAGTTATTGGAGCCAGGATCGAGGTCGGAGGTTCGATGGAGGACGGAGGTGCGGTCGATGGTGCGTCGATTGTACCCTTTGGTAGCAAACCATGGGAGCCTTGTGTACCCTCGTGATTCCGCCGTTGGCGTCGATTAGCTTCTGGGAGTCGATGAGATAGCGCCGTCTCAGCGTCGGCTCGCGTCGATCAGCGACGAATTGGCGTCGATTAGCGTCGATTAGCGTCGATTCGCAAGAGCCGATAAGATGGTATGGCAGGCTCTCGCGAGTTGCCACCAAAGCAGCTCTCTAAGTTGCTCAATGGTTTTCGTGCGTTTCCTATGTTTCTGTTGGAGGGAGTTCTGCCGTATGTTTAGACTCTCACGGCCATCTCCGGGTTTCGGGTTGTCTGCGAGATTCGTGAGGCCTCTTTTTGGTTGTCTTGCTCATCTCAACTACTCCCACCGCCGCCCCCCGAGGAATGATCTAATCAATTAACTTGTTGGGGTGCTAGCGATATCGCTTTCCAAGTGCTAGGGATAACGAGGGGGGGTCGTGACTTGGTTCCCACAGTTACTCCTTCGTCTCTATGCCAGCGCCTGGCGTTCTCCAGAGGTCTGGACCCCTTCCCCAGGACCAGCTATTCATCCCGAGCCGTTTCGTTGACGTCTTTTCGAGTAGGGACTCGACCACAGTTGATTTGTTGATTTACCCCCACATTGATCCTTCCGTCGAAAGAGCGCTTGCTGTGGTCGCTTGGAGGGGGGGTGTTGGAACCGGACACCCCCCGCCTGGATGGAGGGGGGGGGGGGTTCGGAGTGGGGGGAGGGGGTTTGGAACCGCCGTTCCCCCCCCTCCCCTCCCCTTCCTCCCCTACTTGTCTTCTCTCCCTCTCCTGGGGCCGGCGCCTGCGTCGGCGGCTGCTGGCGACGGCGAGGATGACGACTTCCTTTTCTGAGCCGGCGCCAGCCCCTGCGGCGGCGGCCGGTGGTGGTGGTGATTGAGGCGGTGGTGGTGGTGGTGGTGATGTGGTTGGTGGTGGTGGTGGTTGTTGTGGTGGTTGTGGTGGCGGTGGTAGTGGTGGTGACGGTGGCGGTGGTGGTGGTGCGGTGGTTTCTGGTGGTGTTGGTGGTGGTAGTTGTGACAGTGGTGGGTTAAGGTGGTGGTGGCGGTGGCGATGGTGGTGTGGTGGTTTGTGGTGGTGGTTGTGGTGGTGGTAGTGGTTGTGGTGGTGGGTTGTAGTGGGTGTGGTGCTGGCGGTGGTGGTGGTGGTTGTGGTGGTCGTGGTTTGTTGCGGTGGTGGTGGTTGTGGTGGTGGTTGGTGGTGATGGTGGTGGTGGTGGTGATGTGGTGTGGTGGTGATGGTGGTGGTGATGGTGGTGGTGGCGGTGGTGGTGGTTGTGGTGGTGGTGGTGGGGTGGTTTGTTGTGGTGGTGGTGGTTGTGGTGGTGGGTGGTGATGGTGATGGTGGTTTGGTGGTGGTGGGATGGTTTGTGGTGGTAGTGGTGGTGGTGGTTGTGGTGGTGGTGGTTTGGTGGTGCCGTGGTGGTGGTGTGGTGGTCGTTTGTGGTGGTGGTGGTGGGTTGTGGTGTTGGCGGTGGTTTGTGGAGGTGGTGGTGGTGGTGTGGCGTGTGGTGTGGTGGTGTTGGTGGTGTGTGGTGTGGTGGGTGTGCTGTAAGTAGTGGTGGTGTGGTTGTGGTGGTGGTGGTGGTTTGTGGTGGTGGTGTGGTGGTGGTTTGTGGTGGTGTTGGTGGGTTGTGTGGTGGTGGTTGGTTTTTGTGGTGGTGGTGGTGGTGGTGTGGTGGTGGTGGTGGTTGTGGTGGTGGTGGTGGCTGTGGTGGTGGTGGTTGTTGTATGGTGGGTTGGTGGTGGTGGTGGTGGTGGTAGGTTGAGGTGATGGTGGCAGTGGTGGTGGTGGTAGTGGTGGTAATCGTGGCTGCGTCCCCGCCGTCGGCGCTGCTGGCCGCCGCCAGCGCCGGCGCCGGCGCCGGCGCCGGCGCGGGGGGGTTTGGAACCCTCACCCCCCCCCCTTTGGCTGCCTCTGGTCATCGTCGCTGCGTGCCAGCCGTCGGCGATGCTGGCGGCCGCCAGCGCCAGCGCCGGCGCCGGCGCCGAGGGGGGGGGTTTTGACCCCCCCCCCCCTTGGGAGGGGGGGGAGAGGTTTCGGGACGGGGGGGGTTAGGGGGGAGGGGAGTCCCCCTGATTCTGATCGACGGCGCCGAGTGTTGGGGGGTGGGGGCCCACCCCCCAGTTCGAAACGCGCCGACGACTGTTCCCAAGGCGAGCGCCCGTGAAACGCGCTCTCTCCTTCCGTCGAATCTACGGACACTGCCTAGAATACAAATTATTCCCCGTGGATTCAAAGGGAAAATCAGCTCTGGGGTGCATGAGTTCTGTGGTCGATCTCCTACTCGAGTCCTGGGGCCCAGCTAGGGCCCCGGGAGGCCGAACCCTTCGAACAAGAGTGCCGCTTCGAGTGTCTCGGGGTGCTGGAGGTCTGGTTGCGCCAGGAGCGACGCTAGGGAAACAAAAAGTGGCATTAATATGAAAACTCGGAGGTCCGCGCGGGTTTCTCGGATCGGCGCTGGACCCCCCTCCCTGGCGCGCGGAGCGCGCCAGGGGCGGCGCCGGAGGCGCCGCCGGGGGGCCCCAGCGCCGATCCGAGAAATCCGCGCGGACCTCCGAGTTGTTATGTTTATGCCACTTGTTGTTCCCCTATAGACGCGCAGACGGGCGTCCCACGGCGGCGCACAGCAAGGTGCTGCTGCTGCCCCCAGCAGGTCTCGGCATCGCTCGGACGTGTGCATTTTTTCTCGGCGAGAACCATCGAGGACCATCCTGGACCATCGAGCAATAAAAACACGCACGAAATCGAAAAGTGCACGGGAAATGGACGTCCGAGCGACGGCAAGAGGTGGGGAACCACCGAGCTGTCCGCGCGGCTGGAGGAGGTCTGCAGGGATCTGGACTCCGTGGCCGCCCTGTGCGGCGGCGGCGGCTGACGCGCGGCCTCTCTGGGGCGAGCCCCGGGCCGGGACACAGCTCGAGGCAAAAAAAAACATAGACATGAGTGTTCGCATCGGGGGTTGCCCCCTCCTGGCCTTGATGTGAGGCCCCTCCTTCTGCTTCCCTCTCGCTAATTCAAGCTGTGCGCGGCCCGCTTAGCTTCGACAGGAAGAGGTGCGCTCTCGACCCGCGGATCAAAACATTATCCTAGTGCGACCCTACCTCCTACCTAGGAGTTGGAGCCTCTAGGAAAGCAACATTAGTAGGAGCAGCAGCAATAGTGGATGCTGTGCTGCGCTATGCTATGCTATGCTATGCTATGCGCTGCTATGCTATGATATGCTATGCTATGTTGCGCAATGCTATGCTGGGCTAGGCTATAGCTATGCTATGATATGCCCTGCTGCGCTATGTTATGCTGCCAGCTATGCTATGCTATGCTATGCTTTTGCTTTGCCTTCGCTTTTGCCTTCACTTTTGCCTTTGCTTTTGCTTTTGCTTGGCACCCAGGGAGCGCAATTGGGGGAATCGCGCGTTTGCTTTTACCTTTGCTGTTGCTTTTGCTTGGCTCCCAGGGGACTGGGGGAACCGCCCGGGGCGGTTTGCACTGCCCGGCCCTTTTAAGCCAAGCGAGTAAGAACCCTTCTAGGCAGAGCTTAGGTAGGGAAAAAATCGGATCGGGGGATCGTAGAGAGGGGTTGTCCCGAAGTGGGGTTATAGGCACCGCGCCCAGCTGGATTTTCACACGTCCTTCTTACATGCGCCGTTTCGAGCGATCTTCCTCTAACCCCACCCCTGCCTCTGCCCCACCTTTACGTTCCCCCGGTCGGCGCTCCGCTCGGATTTGCATCTACGCTAGAGCCCCCTGACGGCGCCTCCGGCGCCGCCCCTGGTGCGCTTCGCGCGCCAGGGAGGAGGGTTCAGCGCCGATCCAAGAAACTCGCGCGGACCTCCGAAGGTGTCTCTTCATGTAGCCCTTTGCTCTACAGTCGCTCCAGTGCGTTCCTGAACGCTCCCAGAGCATTCTGGAGCACTCTGGAGCGACCGCGGCGCCAGCTACATCCTCCAGAGCAGCCAGATCTCAGATATCCCCGATTTGTTCTGGTACGACTGTGTCCCGGTCTTGTCTTCGTGTCACTTCTGTGCGCGACCCAGCCGCCTGCATCGCACGGGCGCGTCGGGCCTTGCTCCAGAGTGGCGCGTAGCAGCGGTGGCGCGACGGACCAGCGACTGCGCTCATCCAGTGAGTCCTTCTCCTCTGCCCCATGTTTCTCTCCCTCCCTTCCTCCGCTGCTCCTCCCTTTCGCCAGACCTCCACCATCATAGTCGTGGACACTGGCTGCAGGGCACAGACTACTGGTGCAACTCTATGTGGCATTCGCAGACTGCGCTCTCGCAGGGGTGAGGCAGTCACGCGCGAAGGCAGACAAAAAAAGCGCCTGCTGCTTGCTCCTGCAGGCGTCCTCTTGGCCCGCCCAGGCTTGGCCTTCGAGTAGGGGATGGACTACAGAATTGATGTATCCCGAAATCGAATGTTCCTTTCGAATCGGCGAACAAATCGTGGATTCGGCAGGAAGGATCAGATCTGGAGTAAGTCAAATACGTATGTAGTCGATTCCCTACTCGAATTACCAAGGCCTGGCCTGCCCTGGCCTGGCCTGGCCCCCCCCCTCCCCCTCGTTCCCGATCCTACTCATCCTGTCCTGCCCCCCCCCTCTCGCGGAGGTGTGTTGACCCGCGGTCGTTGCTGGGCACCCGCGCGCGGTGGCGCCGCCTCCCCTCCTTGCTTTCCCCCCCCCTTCTCGCCTCCGCGCCCGCCGCGGTGGGTGCCCGCCGCGGGGTGGCGCCGCGTGATGCGAAGTTTCTCCCCCCCCCTTCTCCTTCTCCTCGTACCCCTCCTCCGCGAGACGTGCTGCCGACCAGGCCTGCAGGGTGGGCCCCCTCCATGTTTGTGTGTGCACTTCGGCTTCGGCCTCGTCTGTGGGTGCACCGCGAAGCGCCTCCGGGCCAGCTCGCCCGAGTTTTTTCTCCCTTCACGTGGGTGCCTTCCTCCCTCCCTCGTCCCCTCTGCATCCCCTCCTCCTCCTCCGCAGATGGTAGAGCGAAGTCAACTCGGGGCTCCCAGGGAGGGCATGCCATTTTCATATCGTCCGCGCGCGCACTGCAGGTCGTACATATCGAATCATGTCTTTGATGCGTTCCAGTGGTTGACTCTCGACCCGAGGCCCCCGACCTCAGATTCGTATCGCGTGACGGATCCAAGCTGCCGCCGCCAGAGTTGCATCCCTGCTTTCCTGGATGACCCGACCGCGGGTCAGACCCGCCACAGTTGGGGCCCCCCCCCCCATGGGGGACCCGTGGGTTTCGGCGCCCCTCCCCAGAGATCGCCGATATGCCATGAGGTCCTCGGGTCGTGAATGAGTCACGACGGAGGGTACCTGTTCATGTTCAACCTCGGGGAACCCTCGCGCTGGGCCGCGGGAGCAACCGATCCAAGGGAAGGGATCGAGACCTCCGGGGGTAAAGCTGCGAACAAGAACGCGACGTCGAATGCCTGGGATCGTCGATCTGATGGGCTCCCACTAGAAAGGGGGGGGGGGGGCGAACACGCGACTGACTTTCCCCGTTTGTGGCCGATCGGCGGGTGCCCGCCTTCCGGTTTGTTCGTGCGTCGCGGAAGTTCCCGCTCGCCTTGCACTGAGAGTATTGCCGACAGAAGTAAGCGAGCCCCGCCCACTAGCGCCCGAGGAACGCTCAATGGCGCCATGCGAGGGAGAGGTCACGGCGTGGCGTGACTGAAGATCGGCTTCGTTCAGCACCTGGCAGAACAGAAGAAACGCTTTCCCCTTCGCCAAGACCTGGAGACAATGCCCGTGCGTTTCCATATGGGGGCTCCTTTTATCATACTACTGTGGAAACCCATGCCAACAAACACCCTGCTTGCCTTCAGGGTGCCCTGGATTTTTTGGGTGTCGATGGTTTTGCTATGGAACGCGTGACGTTCCCGTACCAGAAATCAAGGGGCATCTTGCGGTCGCAGGGTGTGGTTTCTTGTGGAAGGTTTCTTGTGGTCGAGTTCCTACTGTACCTTTGCATGGCAGGACCGCGAGGGAAGGCAGGCTGACTTTGATGGTTTTGTTTTGCGGGACTCGGCCAAAGTGCTCGGACTGGAGGAGGAGAGCCACACCGATCTGGTGTTGTTTCTGTGGGCTGGCAGGTTCCTTCTGGGGACAGCGGTGCCAGGGTGCACGATGTGCCTGGGGAAGCCTGCGCCGAGGCTGAGCAACAATAGTTGTGCGCATTTCGTATGCTGTTGGAAAGTCCGAACCATAGTGCTGCCGCGTATGTACGACACGGAAGGGGTGATGGCCTGCGCGCAGCATGTTTTTTAACATTAACTGTGTTTGGTGCATGATGGGCGTCGTTCTGGTTGCGTGTTGTCAGCGTATCGTCAGTCAGGAGTTCAGCAGGGCTGGCACCGATCTTGGCCCGTTTGACAAGTTGCGAGACTCGTTCTTGCAAATATTGTTTGACCGAAGCTTTGAGCGAGGCGTGGTTTGGAGCGCTTTTGATTGTATTTTGAAGCAGTTGGTCCCCATCCGCAACCACTTCCTTGGTTGTGCGCACTTCTGCAACAGAGCACTGACTGCCTGGCTTTATGTGGGATGTGTGAGGCAGTTTGTGATACGGGGGGAGGTCCCGGCGGCCCGAGTTTCACTTTGATGGGTGTTTCGTAGGAAATCCCCCATGATGCCCGCACATTCTTGGTCTCCCATGCTTGGGAGACGGCCGCATGCAAGATCTACTACGGCATCCCCGCGCCAACTTTCACGGCCTGAGCGGGTTCCTCCCTCTTCCTCCCTCGTGCTCGTTTCGTTTTCGCTTTGGTGCCTTTTTATTCGTCTCTTGTGCGCCCTACCGCTTACTGGCAGGCGTCGGACTGTGCTGGACAACTTGGCACCCACGGATTTCGAGAGCTTGGGGAACGGTGCGTCCCCATCATGCAGGTGGCAAAATGCGGTTCGACGATTGCCCCCCCCACCCCCCCACCCCCTTTGCAGGCGCAGAGCAGCGGCGTTATTTGTGTTTGGCGTTTGCTTTTGCAGCGGGGAGAACAAGATGGGTCAGTGGCAGAAGAAGGATGGGACATGGGGCGGGATGCCAGAGCGCAGCGCCTCGTCCCCGCTTCATGTCGCGCACAACGGCATCGGGTATTTTCACCGCGGGACGCCGCAGAGAGTTCGATGTTTCAGTTTGCCCTGTGGTAGACGGGTGGGACCTACGGCTTCTGTGAGTGCGAGGCGGTTGTCCTTCCAAGCTTGGACGACGCAGGCACGAGTGAGCAGTAGCGCTTCCCAGGGGGAGCATGTGGGGATTGGTCAGCACTAGACCGCACGAATACCGCGGATGGTACTGCGCGGGATTACCCACGGCATCGCGTTGCCAAACAGTCAAACATGTAGGCGGCGAGGGTGCGAAACGCGCGCCCGATTCACGGCAGAGGCCTGCCGATAACAGGTCGTGAGCTGAGATGGAGGGCAGTACCACTCGTGAGAACGCTCATGGTGTTTGAGTAGCTTACCCTGTCACGGGCGTTAGTTTTAGTTGTGAAAGGAGATTGGGCTGTAGTGCGGTACGAATTCTTCAGGATTGCACTGGGTTCCTCGAGTCTCCCAGAACCTCCCTACCCTCCGGGCTGTAGGCGTTGAGCGCGCATTGATATCAACCAGTGGATGCTCACCCACTCGCACACAGCCAGGTAATGTTGATACGATTTGCTTTGGTTCGACGCGCGACTGAGCCTCCAGACGGCGCAGTGGCGCATGCGCGACAAGGTGCGCTCAGGAGCTC